TGCTTCTAGGTTGGAGGCCATCGCTAGTAGGTTGGAGGCCATCGCTATTTTCTTCCCAGGCCAACGCTATTAGGTTGGAGGCCATTGCTTCTAGGTTGGAGGCCATTGCTTCTAGGTTGGAGGCCATCGCTACTAGGCTGGAGGCCATCGCTATTAGGTTGGAGGCCATCGCTGTTAGGTTGGAGGCCATCGCTATTAGGTTGGAGGCCATTGCTTGTAGGTTGTAGGCCATCGCTATTAGGTTGGAGGCAATCGCTATTAGGTTGGAGGCCAATGCTATTAGGTTGGAGGCCATCGCTGTTAGGTTGGAGGCCATCGCTATTAGGTTGGAGGCCATTGCTTCTAGGTTGGAAGCCATGGCTATTAGGTTGGAGGCCATCGCTATTAGGTTGGAGGCCAATGCTATTAGGTTGGAGGCCATTGCTTCTAGGTTGGAGGCCATTGCTTCAAGGTTGGAGGCCATGGCTATTAGGCTGGAGGCCATCGCTATTAGGCTGTGGAGGCCATCGCTATTAGGTTGGACGCCGTCGCTAGTAGGTTCGAGGCCATCGCTATTAGGTTGGAGGCCATTGCTATTAGGTTGGAGGCCCTCGCTAGTAGGTTTGAGGCCACCGCTATTTGGTTGGAGGCGACCGCTTCTAGGTTGGAGGCCATCTCTATTAGGTTGAAGGCCATCTCGATCAGGTTGGAGGCAATTGCTATTTGGTTGCAGGTCATCAATATGAGGTTGGAGGCCATCTCTATCAGGTTGGAGGCCATTGCTTCTAGGTTGGAGGCCATCGCTATTAGGTTGGAGGCCATCGCTATTAAGTTGGAGGCCATTGCTTCTAGATTGGAGGCCGTTGCTTCTAGGTTGGAGGCCATTGCTTCTAGGTTGGAGGCCATTGCTTCTAGGTTGAAGCCTATTGCCTCTAGGTTGGGGGCCATTGGCCATCGCTAGCAGGTTGGAGGCCATCGCTAGTAGGTTGGAGGCCATCGCTCTTGGGTTGGAGTCCCATCGCTAGTAGGTTGGAGGGCATTGCTTCTAGGTTGGAGGCCATCGCTATTAGGTTGGAGGCCATTGCTTTTGTGGATTACGTGTGACCATAGATGTGAGACCTATATGTATACCTTAAGTTTGAACATCGGTACGACTCTCTCCTCGCTCGCGTCATCCGGTCGGTCGTCAGCATCAGTGGTGCGGACAAGGTCCATGAAGACTAACCAACAAGGCCCAGGGCGTTAGTCTTCATTATATCATATCTGTCTTTGAGAACCAAGAAACAAACTAGACAATATCTATCCCTATTGCTACTAGGAGCAAGGACGCTACTAGGGGCTGGCGTCGCTACTAGGAACAAGGACTGACTCTAACATCTTTGACTCTAACAGAAAGCGCACTAGGGAGGATCTGTTCCTTTGGAGCGGTTGACTTCGATGGCAAAAGTGTGACCAAGATGCCGAATGTTGTGTGTGTTCTGTCTGCAGCCACCCCGTGCCACAGAGACTGCATAGATCGAAGAAACATAACTCCTGCTCCATTCTGATCCAAATAAGTCTCAATGACGTCAAGTCCGTTGCGTCAGGCCACTCATGGGGCCCGAAGAGCGATTCTCTCATTTTTTCATGTCTCACTTGTGGTCTTTGGAGGTCTAATCAGCTTTAAAACTTCACACTCAGTCCGAAGATGTGCCTCTACAATAACTCCTGTAGCGGTTGATGCAGAAGCGCCTGCTTGACATTCATGTGTGAAAACAAAAGGGCCGTCAAGAACTAGTTGATGGATCAGCTTGCGTTTTTTCAATGGTCTTACCCCGTCATGGCCCGTCACAGTCTCACCATCCTATCCTTGCGTTCCATCTTTGGACCAAGCCAAAATTGCCCGAGAGCTGAAGCAGCTGAAGCCCTAAGTCGGCCCTCATCTCATTCATCCATGTCCTGGCAGCACCCAGCTGTGCTGATAGGCTCTTTGAAAGAGTATCGTTGATCTCCGTTGATCTCTGTTGATCATGTTCCCTACTTGGATGTCTCCGTTGATCTCCCCTTTTCTGTCCTCCTTCGGTGCGGTCTCCTTTGATTCCTTGGCCTGAGGCGACAGGGATCAAATTGGTATCATCGCATTGGCCCACACTGGGAGCCCTGCTGGCGCAGGTGAAGAAAGTCCTTTGCACATTTTTGTAAACATGCCCTTCACCTGCCGCACGAGATCAAAGAGGAGCGCCTCACATCTGATGTTGAAAAACGTTGTGCCTTCTTGTCCTCCTCCTTCTGCCCAATTTGGGCCTTGAGAAGGGCAACACAGCCAATACACAACAAAGGCTTGCTGAATTGATCACAAAACTTGCAGATTGCACAAGAATGAGTCTACTGCTGACATAGTCAACAAAACTTCTGCGCCCATTTCATGTCTATCCGAACCTGTGAAGCACTCCCACGCGGATGGATATAAAGCAAGCGCGCTCCGATCGCCGATCGCTCCCCACCTGTTTGTAAAGAGCTTTGGCTTCACGATTACTTGGATCCAGCTCCAAGATGCGCCTCGGGGTCATGCGACAAAGGGGACTTTCCAGGGCATGCGACAAAGTGTTTGCTCGAAATGCTCGTCCCTCAAAACTGTGAACATTCAGCTCGTTCTGACTTCCAGGTTCTGCACTTGATGTCGCGCATGCAGTCAGAGTATTCGTAAAGGCCGAAAGCTGCTTGTGCTCTTCGGAAGAGTGCCTCTAGTTCTCGCAACATCCAACCGCCATGATCAATGTGTCAATTTTCCCAACATGTTATGCTCCATTATTACATATTAGTACCCGGTCTCCAGGTTGCCTTCAAGTGTTCACCCTCTTCCTTGAGCACATTGTTGCAGCACCTACAGCCATCAAGTGACAAGCACATCTTATCACATCTTCGTGAGCAAAGCTGCTGAAGGCCTCACCTCTTCGCATCTTGGTGCTGCTTCAACTTCAAATGACCTTACTCCTAGTAGCAAGGACGCTACTAGGGGCTCCTGGCCTTACTACTAGGAACAAGGACGCTACTAGGGGCTCCTGGCATCGCTACTAGTAGCAAGGACGCTACTAGGGAGGGCTTCGTGCGACTGGCACGACTGGAGGCTTCATGTGTTCCTCGTCGGCGAGCGACATCCCCGGGGCGTCTCACGCTTCCGGACCGGACCGACCAAGGCCCCCGCACGCAGCCTTGTTCCTGGCGATGGATTTTGAAGGGAAACGGAGAAAAACGATGGAGAGACCAAGCACGCGGGCCACGCAAGTCGCAGAGCTTCTTGAGCTCTTTGGCCTCGACCGTTGGACCCCGAAGGACTGCGGTTCGATGAATATGACAGCTACAGCTACAGCTGACAGCTACAGCTAGCCGAAACACGGTTGATCCAGAAACACAGTTGACTTCATGAGGTCTTCAAGTCCCAGCAAACTATTGAAGTCTTTACCTTCTTCTTGCCTTCTCTCTTTTTTCCTTTCTCTATGTGTTCTTTTTCTTCTTTAGACCTATCGTTTTGTTATTGCTTTCTTTCTGAGTCTTGGAAAAGTTCTGAGGTACACTTTATGCCTAGCCGCTAGCCGAAATGCGTGGCAACTTGAGCACGAACACAAGCAGGATCACACATCACAACAAAGAATTCAAATCCACACTCTCGATGTCTGTGTCGCTCCTTGGTTTTATTTTCTTCCTTGAAGTTGTCAATGTAGTTGAAAAGGTCCATGACCTGCCGAGTCAAGCCATGCTGGAGCCCCTAGTAGCGTCCTTGCTCCTAGTAGCGATGCCAGGAGCCCCAGCGTCCTTGCTACTAGTAGTACTGCCAGGAGCCCCTAGTAGCGTCCTTGCTACTAGTAGTAATGCCAGGAGCCCCTAGTAGCGTCCTTGCTACTAGTAGTAATGCCAGGAGCCCCTACTAGTAGTAGTGCCACGAGCCCCCAGTAGCGTCCTTGCTACTAATAGTGATGCCAGGAGCCCCAAGAGCGCTATTGCTACTAGTAGTAACGCCAGGCGCTTGTAGTTTCTTGTCCCTAACAGTGAGGCCAGTAGTTTCTTGTTCCGAGTAGTAAGGCCAGAAGCGCCTAGTGGTTTCTTGTTCCGAGTAGGAAGGCCGGGAGCCCCCACTAGGGTCCGTGCTACTAGCAGTAAGGCCAGGAGCGCGTAGTGGCGTCCTTGACTAATAGTAAGGCCAGGAGCGCCCAGTAGCGTCCTTGCTGCTAGTAGTAAGGCCAGGGGCCCCTAGTCAAAGGAAGTTTAGTGTATGAAACTTCCGTGTTACGGACATTCAAGAACCGTTCATACACCACTCATCAATACACCACTCATCATACACCGCTCATCATACACCACTCATCATACACCACTCATCATACACCACTCATCATACACCACTCCTCATCCAGTTGGCTCTAGTTTCAAGAGCTCTAGCTCCAGTTAGCTCTAGTTGCAAGAGCTCTAGCTCCAGGTAGCTCTAGTTTCAATAGCTCTAGCCCCAGGTAGCTCTAGTTTCAAGAGCTCTAGCTCCTGTTTGCTCTAGTTTCAATAGCTCTAGCTCCAGTTTACGTGGCAGGCGCAGCACTTTGTGAACCTCCATGCGCAGATTTCGTGGCAGGCGCAGCACGTTGTGAACCTCCATGTGCAGATTTCGTGGCAGGCACAGCACTGTGTGAACC